TTTATACAAAGAATTATTTTTCACTTTTTAGTTTGATATGCTTTAAAAGCGTGTTTTTTAGTTTTTTTAAACTATATTTATTTTACCAAAACTTACATATATATATAAACTACATTATGATATATCAAGTTTTGCTGAGGCCAAAGCTTGCGCAAACGGACGGACGGATACACAGTCATCTGGTTTTAAACTAGTTTCTGCGTCCTGCTCACTTATGCGATATAGGTATATATGATACATAACCCTACATCCATTTCTTTTATTTTTGGGTGATGCAAACAACTAATAGATAAACAAAAAAGATATACATATGTATATATATATACATATATATTCAATAATTTATATATTTTCATATAAAAAGATATCATTGAGTTTTTTTTATAACAAGCATACAGTATAAATTAGTAACCTGTATAAAATTGGATTGCATGAGCTTGTAGGTCGGCCAAAATTCTCTCTCTTTATGCCTTAGTAAAAATATTTTGAATGACTTCTCGTTCCACAGAGGAAAGTTGATGTTTTATGGAGTATCTACAATTAGTAAATGCAATATATTTGTATTTTCTAACAAATATGTATATAAGTTATATATCTTACCTTCCACCAATTTCAAACACTCTCATCACGCAAACGATTCATCTCAACTTGGCCCATAACATACATTCTACCATTAACTTCAAGCATATCGGAATTCGTCTCTCCACCCACTTTATGAGGCATGGCATAGCGTAATTTATCCCAAAATCTGATATCTTGCCAATCCAGATATGTATTCATATCCAGATATGCCTTGAGTTCTTTATCCAAAAACTCACTGTTCGCGATTTCACCATATTTAATCATTATTATGCGCGCACGACCTTCGTTCAACGAGCACTGATGCGCTGTGCGAAACTCCATCCGCGCCCAATCCGACTCGATGAAGTGCTGCGAGAGCACAATGATCGTCCGACGTGACTGCTCCACCGATTCAATGATTTGTTCAGGTATATAAGCGCCAGCCAACCAATTGCGTTCGTGCGTGCACACACAAAATGGTGGTTCGCACTGTTCGAGTTGCGGCAGTAATGTATGGTTGACGAAGTCTGCATCCTGGTGTGCATACGAAATAAACGCATCGAATTTTTTATGCTTATCCAGCTCACATTCGTTAATCCAAAATCTCAATATGTTGTGGCTATATAACCAGACTTTCACTTCCAATTTATATTTATAAAAAAGTGCAATAATGCAAAGTAAGATAATAATGGTTAACGCTACAGAAATCACAGTAGCATTCAAGTGCTGATAATACTCACGATCAAAAGGAGTTATACACAATTCTCTCAAATTGGGTGATTGGAGTGAAACGTTCTGCAAATTATCGCAATTTAATAGAATATTGGTTAACGCAACACTCATCACAGTTGCTATCATTTGCCGATAATAATTTTGACATAATTCGCTCACATTTGCTGTTAGGAGTGTAACATTCTGCTGATAGGCACAGATTAACTGCTCGACATCGGGTATTCGTGTCCGATGTGTGCGTATGGTGTACAGCAAATTCTGCGTGGTGCAGTCGCAAAACCAAGGATTTTCACTGAGATAGAGAAATTGTAGTTGTGCGCTGTTATTGAGGTATATACGTAAAAATTCATCATCTAAAGATTTTAAGTGATTATTTCGTAGATCAAAAACCGTTAAATTGGTTGGCAGTTGGGCGAGACTAATGTTCGTGATTTCATTATAGGACGCGTTGAGTTGCGAAACGTTTCCATAGCCGAAAGTGGTGTTTAGTGGCAATTCAATGAAATTATTATCGCTAATATCAAGCACCGAACTCTTGAGCCCAAATTGCTCAGGACGTGGGAGCTGTTCGATATGTTGCACATCCTTGCATTTGATGTACAGGAATTCAGATTGTGCGTAACATCTGCATTTAGTGGGGCACATTACCGGTTCCCAAGCACACAGTTCATTTTGTTCCAGCTGAGCGTGATCTGTTATTAGTTTGGTTGACGTTTGAATGCACTGCAAACGATTGAACAGCGAACGATAATTTTCACTGTATATCCAAGGAAATTTGCAATCGCACACTATTGGATTACCAGTAATTTTGATTTCGCGAGCACAATCGTCAGTTGTATCGGGTGATTTTTTTGAGGTTAGGATTTTCATGCATTAGTATTTGACAGATCACGTGGGATATCAGACATGGTGTCAAAGAGAAAGATGCTCA